TACACACATGTGAAGGGAATAATTCAAGTATATAAACATATATGCACCAAATGCAGGAGCACACAAATATATAAGATAAATACTAATAGACACAAAAAACCAAAATTTGCAATAAGATAATTGTAGTAGGGCTCTTTAATAACCCATTGTCACAAAGAAAAAGATCAACTAGACAAAAAGTCAGCAAATAAATAACAGAACTGAATCAAACCTGTGAGCAAATGGATTTAGGAGATGTTAATATATATATATATATATATATATATATATATATATATATATATAGCTTTTCGTCCAAATAGCAATAAATTGTCATATCAACCACATTAGAATACACATTCTTCCCAAATGCACATTAGACATTCTCCTAAATAGACTATATTAGCCCATACAACATTCTTAAATAAAAGTAAAGGAATTGAAATTATCCCATGCATATTATCTGAGCATAATGCACTGAAGTTGGACAGTAACAGCAAAAGAAATTGCAAAACCTACATAAATACATGGACATTAATTAACAACCTCCTGAACAATTAGTGAGTTACAAGTAAAATTAAAGACATTAAGCAATACCTAAAATTCAATGAAAATGAAGATACAACATACCAAAATCTGTGAGATGCAATGAAAGCAGTCCTACGAGGAAAATATATAACAATAAATTGTCATATCAAGAAAACAGAACGAGCACAAATAAACAACATAATTGTACATCTCAAGTTTCTAGAAAAAGAACAGCAAGTAAAACTCAAAGCTCACAGGATGGAGGAAGTTATAAACATTGGAGCAAAAATCAATGGAATTGAGACTAAACTAAATACAAAGAATTAATGAATCAAAAAGCTGGTTTTTTAGAGAATTAAAAAAATTGATAAATCTCTAGCCAACATTATCAAGAAAAAGAAAGAAAAACTCAAATTTAACACATTAAGAACTGAAAAGAGGGGGCTGGGGATTTAGCTCAGCGGCATAAGTACCTGCCTTGCAAGCAGGCAGTCGTGAGTTCGATCCCTGGTACCGATAAAAATGAAAAAGACAAAAAAAAAAAAAAAAAAAAAAAAAAAAAAAAAAAAAAAGAACTGAAAAGAGAGAAATTACTACAGATGCCTTGGAAATTTAGCAGATCATGAATACCTACTTTGAAAATCTTTACTCACATAGGGTAGAAAGCACAGGGAAGTGGACCGATTTCTAGAAACATATGAACTATGAAAGATGAATCAAGAGGATATAACAATTTTGAATAACCCAATACCAGCTATTTCAATTGAAAAGGTGATTAAAAACTTAGCAACTGGGGCTGGGGTTTTAGCTCAGTGGCATAAGTGCCTGCCTTGAAAGCAGGCAGTCTTGAGTTCGATCCCCGGTACCGCTAAAAAGGAAAAAAAAGACAAAAAACAAACAAAAAAAACTTAGCAACAAAGAAAAGCCCAGGTCCTGATGGATTTATAGTTGAATTCTATATGAAATTTAGAGAAGATTTAATGTTGATACTCTTCAAACTCTTCAATGAAAATTAAAGGGAAGTAATGTTTCCTAACTCATTCCTGAGGGCAAGTATTACTCTGATACCAAAACCAGACAAAGACCCAACAGAAAAGGAGAACTATAGGCCAATCTCACTCATGAGCAATGATACAAATATTCTCAATAAAATACTGGCAAATAGATTGCAGCAAATTGTCAAAAAGATTATACATCATGACCAAGTGGATTTTATCCCAGAAATGCAGAGATGGTTTAATGTATAAAGAGCAATAAATGTAATACCCCACATCAACATAGTCAAAAACAAAAGTCATATGATCATCTCAATAGAGGCAGGAAAAACTTTTGATAAAGTCCAACACTTGTTCAGACAAAAACGCTATAGAAACTCGGAATTGATGCTACCTACCTCAATCTGACAAAGGCCATCTATGACAAACCAATAGCCAACATCATACTAAATGGACAAAACCTGAAAGCTTTCACTCTAAAATCAGACAAGGATGTCCACTGTCACCATTCCCATTCTATATAGTTCTGGAAATATTATCTTTGCTCTTTGTAATGAGAAATTGGCTTTCCACATGCCAAAGAGTGAAACTAGACTCATGTCTATCACCATGCAGTAAATTGAAGTCAAAATGGATCAAAATTCTAAATGTTAAACCAGAAACACTAAATCTACTGGAAGACAAGTTAGGTAGAAATCTTGAAGACATAGTGATAGGCAGAGAATTCATGAACAAAATGCAAACTTCATGGGAAACACTTCATAGAATCAACAGCTGAGATCTCATCTTATTAAATTTTTTTGCACACGAGAAATCACCAACAAAGTGAAAAGAAAACCCACAGAATGGGAAACAATTCTACCTTGTCCTAAAATTCAATAAGTTGGGTACACCTATAATTGGTAATGCAAGCTAAGAATAACTTACAGACAGAGAGAGAAAAAGGGATGGGAAAGGCAGTTTATCATAGTGTTTTTCCTCCCATGTAACCCAGTGCAAGCCTTCTAATTACTAGCAGAAACAGAAAATCAAGTCTGTCATCCATTCACTGAATATTTATTCTCTACAGTGTATCATATTTTTCCTCAGTGCAGGGCTCAAACCCAGAGCTCCCAACTTGCTACACAAGCGCTCTCTGGTTGAGCCACATCCCTGGCCCTACAATGTGCCCTTGAAGAATTTATTATATAAGAAAGTCTGTGGTTGGCTGGCCTGTACTTGAATGCCCCCTCCCAAATAAGCAAAAATTCATCGAGGTCCCAAGCAAATGTCCACTGTGATGCTGAGACTCTGTGGCAGAGGCTTGCCTGAGAAAACTGCCTGCATGGGAAATCATCTTACATTACAGAATTCTGAGATTCTGCTTCAATACTTTTAGACATCCTGGAAATATGTGACTGCCAAGGGCTGGGCATGGTAGGAGGTCTGAGATCACTTCTGCAGTATACAGAGGGCAGGAAATGCAGAGAAAGTAATCTGTATCACACAACTGAGGTAGTACCTAATAATTTGGGGTCAGTGCTTCCATGCTGATGTACAGTCCTTTTTGCCCTGGAAAGTCATAGTCTGTTTCTTGAGATTTGGTCTCACCTGACAGCCTGGAGCACGGCTCTCCTCCATCCAGCCTGGCTCAACCAGGTATTTGGGGAGTCCCTTGGCAAAGTAACACTGACCTGTGGCTTTGCTTCAGTGATGACCCATCAGCTCCTCAGCCAGCCCATTTGACACTGTTTAATGGCAATTGAAGGGACAAACAAATAGCCTAGCCAGCTCTGTACACATCAGTCCGTGGAGATGGGGCCAAGTTTATCCAAAATGGAGATAGCTCTCTTCAAAGAGAGCCAAGGAGAGTTGTCTGGGTGGTTCCTCACACCAATCCTACTTTCTGTCTTCATAGATGGGAGCCCTCTAAGGACTGCACTGAAATGGATTCATGCAGGATTTGCCTTTTTGTGACTTATTTCTCTCAGCGTGATCCCCTCTCAGTACATCCATGCTGTGGCCAAGGAGCAGAATATCCTTCCTCCCTTATGGCCTGAATCCTCGTCCCCCGTGCAGGTGGCCCACAGTCCACCCATTCCTCCAGCCATGCACAATGGGGATGTTTGTGCCTTAGACTTAGGATTAACATTGCTGTGAACGTTAGTGTAGGAAACACCGCACCTGGCACCGATTCCAATTTTTTGGGGAGCAAAATGACTGGCCATATGGCAATTCTATGAGTATTGGGGGGGGGGGTAGTCGCCATACCACTTCCCTAGGGGCTGTGGCGTCTTACATGGTACTAACAGCACTGGCATAGCTAGAGTTCCTGCTGCTGGGGTGGTCCTTCAATTTGGCATTCTCCAACCTATCTGAAGATATCAAGCTACTTAAATAGAAAATTGAAGTGGCACATGGAGACAATCTAAGAGCACAGGAAACTGCAGATGGAACGTTCATATTTGATGTACTGGAATCTTCATTGTGTGAAAATGCAGTACACTGATACCATGTAATTTTCCTTTCGTCCAATAAGGCCACCCAAAAATGTGCTTCCAGGGTCGTATCGTGCCCACTCCTGCCGAGCTATCCCAGCTAGGGCCAGTAAGTAAGACCGTGCTAACAGTTCAGTAGCAGTCTGCATCAGCCCATAGGGAAATCTGGAAGGTCTGCCAAGAGCAGCACAGGGAGGAAGACCCCGCCCAGAGGCGTCACCTTGGAGAACCCACATGATTTACAAGGGGGTTCACCTTTGCTGGCCTAGCTTTTACTCCGCCTTAAGATACAGCCCTGTGCTGGTTCTTCTACCCAGAAGCTTTTTCTTTTGTTTCCCCAGCAACACTTTGAGCTCTTGTCAAAGCCATGGCAAGTGCTGTGTTGCTGCTGCTGCTGCTGCTGCTGCTGCTGCTGCAGCCTCCGGGGGACCAGGTGAGTACCTTGTGGAAGAAGGGGCTGGTGGGTGGCTAATAAGAACTAGGGCTCCTTTGCCCTGAAAGGCACATGCTGCTTCCTAGGATCGCAGAACATCTGATTGTCCAGATTCTGTAGCCACTGCTCTGCCACATGGGATAGTGGTGGAAGAGGGGTGGTGAGGATTGGGAAGGAGTTTAGGGTTTCACCAGAGATGCACTGTTTCATCATTTCTTAAGTGTCACTAATATTTATATGTAAACATTTAGAGAAATGTCACAGTTACTATGTCACCTGTAATCTCAGCACTTGGACTGCTGAGGCTGGAGGATCGCCCAGAGTCCCAGGGCAATCTGTGCTGCACAGTGAGTTCAAGGCCAGCCTGAACTACATAGCAACACTATCTTCAAAAAAAAAAAAAAAGCTGTCTAAAAAAAGGGAAAAAGAGACAATTTATGTGCCCAAAAAGCAACCAGCACTTTGCTGACCTCAAAGGGCAATGTATGAAATGTAATTTCCCTGCTGGATTTCTCTGTCTGGTTTTTATACAGAGCACTGTTTGGTGGCTTTTGCTGGTCCTGTACAGGTCCCAGGGTTTCTGCTTACCTTGTCTGGTGCTTCAGGCACGCGTCCAAGGTCACACATTCCAGGAGGCCTCCTCAAACCTCTGTGGCTGAAATGGAAGTCAAACCATGTGTCTGTGGAAACAGTGTCTGCTGTGGATGTGGCCCTGGCTACTTCAGAATGAGAGTCCCTCAGTCAGACCAGGAGTTTAGATCCCTGCTGTGCTGCCTCCTTGCCACCAAGGTCAGAGGTGGGGGAACCCAGCCTCCTGGAGCAAGCACCCTCAGCATCTTCCTGATGAGGCAAACTTCAGGGAGAGGAAGCTGTATTCCTCTTCTCTGAACTGCATTCTTTTCTTCTTTATTACAAATGGCTTTCAATTTCTAAATTTTCATTCTGAAGTCATTTCCAACTTTTAACACTTACCAAAAGAGCACCAGTGACTGCACAACCAAGGCCCACAGTGGATGGGAAATATATCTCAATTTGAATCAATTTTTGCTTTACTTTCAGTTTTTATGAATTTAAGAAATTCCATGGTAGTCTAGAAATCAAACCCAAAGGGCTTGTGCATGGGAGGCAAGCATCCTAGCACTCAGCTACACCCCTCTCTTACCTCTAAAAACAAACCAAAGGAAAACACTCCAGGATGTCAGAGGCCTCAGGAAGGGGGAGACAGAGCCTGGATCCCTATCCTCCTGCCTTGCTGCTGATCCCATTCTCCTGGCAGCCCCTTCCCTGGGGCTTGGATAGCTGGAATTTGTGCAAAGTGTCACCAGTCTGTGAAGGTTGCACTGCACCTTGCTTCCTGCTTTGCCCAGGACTGAGCAGCCTGCCCTGTGTCACAAACGTGTCCATCACAGCGTGACTACAGTGTCTCAGCCCCAGGTGTTTCTTAGGTCTAAACTTCCTGACTGGAAATGGAGACCAGAGCTCAAGGACAGCGATGTGACTCACATGTGCATGAAGCTTCTGCAATGTGTTTTTCTTGGTACAGTGCCTCTCAGCCCTTGCTCTACATTTGCAGGATGTTTTAAACAGCAAAATTAGCAACAAAAAACACAAAAAAAATAGGTAAACACATAACACCCAACAGACTGCAGAACACATCTGTAGGCCTTTAAAAGAATTTTTTTAATTTCAAGAAGTTAGTCAGTTACCCAGGCTTGGCTTGGACTTACATCTTCCCGTCTCAGCGTCCCTAAAGCACACTCATTTACAATGAGAGATCCAACAGAGAGGCAGAGGGTCAGCTGGGTGAGCTTCAGTGGAAGTGACTCACATGACTCCATCTTTTTGTCACTCTGTGGCTATTAATAAATGGCCAAAACAGTGGCACTGATTTTGGATGAATGAATAAATTTCAGCAGTGAAGTGGATTCACGAACACATAATTTGACTTTAGTGAAGATCAACTGCTCTGGGGAAACAGTTGTGAAATTATAACCAGTCATATAGCTACAAAATGCAAAAGACAAAAATTGACCTAATCCAATGGTGAAATCTTAAAATCCATGCATTTATTATTTAATATAGCTAAAAAACCAGAACATCAATGAGAAAACCAAAAATCAGTAAGAATTCTGAGTGTTAGGGTTGGTACAGTGGTGCACACCTGTAACCCCAGGCACTTGGAAAACTGAGGCAAGAATATCATAAGCTCAAGGCCAGTCTGGGAAACTTAGTGAACCCGGTCTCAACACACACACACACACAAACACACACACACAATGCAGTGTTGAGAGTGTTGCTGAGTGGTGGAGTCCATGCCAACCCTGTACAGGGCCCTGGGTTCCACCTTCAGTAATACGAGCAAGGTTTCATGTGAATATGCCTACACATAACCGTGTAAATTCTATGCACACAGAAGCACCTACTGAAACCCGCAGATCCTAGTTCCCATTCACAGATGATGTTTCCTCTTCCCCCTCTTTCTTTCCCTTCATTGTCATCCTCTTTCTCTCTTCATCTTACTCCTCCTCCTTATTATAAAATCCTCTTTTCTCTCCCTCCCTTACATGTTTCTTTCCTTCCTTCCTTCCTTCCTTCTTTCCTTCCTTCCTTCCTTCCTTCCCTCCTTTCTTCCTACTTTCGTGTTCCTGGAAAGGGAACCCAGGCTTTCACACTGAGCTACATCCCGTGGTATGTTTTCATTTTGAAACAGGCTTTCACTCAGTTGCCTGGGCTAAGCTGGAACTTCACCTCCTCCTGTTTAAGTCTCGAAGACTATGGGGTTACACACCTGCATCACCACAGTGGCTTAAATAAAATACTTTCTTGACACAGTGTATGTGCAGCAATGGAAAAATAATATACTGTAATAAAAGAATGTTCACTAAAGTCCAAAGTCTCACAACATGCCAGGTATAGTTCTGGGCATGCAGATCAAAACAACCACAGCAAAGAAAAGTCCCCAGCAGAAGCACAGATATTTGGAAACTAAGAAACATTTTTCCAAGGTGGTGTCTGCTCCTATTGCACGTTAGACTGCAAGGAGGTGTATGAGAAAGAGCTACAGTGGGGGCTTCCCCAGCAAAGGCCACCCCAAAGATCATCCCAGGAATCAGGAAAGACTGTGCCAAGGCCACCCCAGGACCAACTTGGGCTGGAGGCCACCCGGTTCTTCTGCGTCCAGACACAGCTATGTGCAATCCTGTGAAGGAGAGGTGAGTTCCACATGCAATGTGGCAACTCCTGATAACGCCCATCTCTCTTTCTGATACAAGGTGACTGTGGTAAGCAGCGTGACCTCCTGTAAACCACAGAAGTGTTGCACTGATAATCTCTGCCATCCTTGCTGCCCAGCTGGTGAGTCCAGGCTGCTTTCTCTAGCTGCCGGGAACTGGCCTTCCCACCTGGAGAAGGGAAACCAGGGCCTCTTCTAGGGCAGAGCTGGAAATCCCTGGGAGCACAGTGTGACAGCCCCCATGGTCCACCTTCATACCCATCCTGGAAGAAGTTTCCCTGCACGCACAGTGAAGGAGGCCCCATGTGAACAGTGACAGGATCATGTTCTGCAGGGCTGGAGGACAGAGGTCGGTTAGGAACCTACTTGCACATGCCTTGGGGTGTCGGTCACAAGTGAGGGTGCTGCAGGGCCTCAGGTCATGAGGGCACAATGCATGCTGTGGTGGCAGCCAGGAGTATGGGGCAGAGCCAGGGCCACCATGTGTCTTAGGGATGGGATGGCCATTAGCTTAGCCCCAGGAATAGGCAACCTGGGCTCCACTTCACCTCTCTTCCTTCTCACTCAGGCTGCCACGTGAGCAAAGCCTACTGGGAAAACAAAGGCACTGTAAAGTGTGTGCCGTGTGAGCCTGGAACCTTCATGGACAACCCCAACATGATGGAGTCCTGCTTTCTCTGCTACCAGTGTTCCTATGGTAAGTATGTGACTGAGGGCAGGCAGGGAGAGTGGCACCACCTCTCTGTTTCTTTCTTCTACTTCTTTCCTTTCTTTTCTGCTGAAAATTAAGCCAAGGTTGTAGAAAACATCACATAAGCATTCATCCACTCAACCTCTAAGCTACATTCCCAGGCCTCCACTAACCCTTTTTTTCTGTTAGTCTTTTTAAAACCGGGTTTCACTATACAGTTCAGGCTGGCCTTGAACTCACAGTGATCTTACTCCTAGGCCTACTGAGTGCTGGGATTACGGTATGCTCCGCCACACCCGGCCCTTTACTGATTTCTAAAATATCACCTCAACCCCCAGCCCAACCCAATCACAGATCAAAGCAAAGAAAGTTTTGGACCTGTGCACAGAAATTTAGCTGGCATGGTATCTTAGTTACATTCTTGTTGCTGGGGCAAGAAACCTGACACCAATAATTTAAGAAGAAACTTTGAAGCGGTATCAGTCCATGCTCAGTTCATCAGTTGATGGCTCCCAGGCAGGGTGACACAGCACAGGAGAAGGGTCCATGGCAGGAAGCAGCGAGCCTGCCTTCCCTCTCTCCCTGTCTATTCCATCCAAGCTCTCAGCCTATTGGTTGGTGCCAGCCACACCCAGGATGGGGCTTCCCTATTCACTAATTCCATCACCCAAGCTATGTTCAACCAATAAATGGGCTAAATCAGTTATTACATCCATAATCCAGTATCACACACCCCATGATGCCGCCACTTCCCCAAAGTCCTACTTATGAGCTCATGAGTCTTAGGGAGACATCTAGCTATGACACATGGTGTCTCTCACCAAGGTCGGGTGGCAGGAGGCACAGTGCTGAGGTTTCTCTTTAGTGTGAGGACACAGATATATGGCTAGAGTGTCAATCTATATATTACTAACATTTCTAAGATCAATGAACAAAAGCTATGTACAAGATTCATATGGAGGGGCTGCGGATTTATGTCAGTGGTATAAAGGCTTGCCTGGCAAGTAAGAGGTCATGAGTTCCATCCCGGGTATCAAAAGAAAAGAAAAGACCCCACAAGATTCATATTTAAATATTCATATAAATTACTATATGTCAACAAAGAATTGTTTTCATAAAAATGTAATATTTAAAGGACATTTGCATGAGCCATAGTGAGGCTGAGGAACAAACCCAGCCAGGGATGTGTAAGATGCATGCACACCATTCACATCACTCTGTGTCTGCAGAGAACTGTAGTGGAACTACAGGAAGAAAGAAGCTAATAAAGGTGTCAGTTCTTCTCCATGGAACGATCCTTAGAACCAGTGCATCCCTAGTGAGGTTCCCGATTGGGATTTTCTTGAAAGGAGAAGCTGACAGATGTCACAGTGCTCCTGACAACCACAGTCCAGCCAGCACTAGGCCTACGCCGATGTCATGGCTCTGTGTTGGGACAATGAGGATGGGCAGAGGTCCATGCAGGGCTGGGATGGTGGCACCAGTCATCAGCAGAGACCCCAAAAGAGGCCAGCACAGAGGTGGAGCCACGGTGTGGGACTTGTGGTCTCCAAGTGAATCCCAAATGGATCCCTCACTGTGCACTTTGGAAAGTGCCCGCTCCTGCTGGGACTCTGGCTGTATCCATCCTCTCCCTGACACATACAACATCACTGCCTGGAAAGCCACTCAGGAGAAGCAAAACTGAAACAAGAAAACAGGATCTTTGGATTTAAGCCAGTGATCAACTTTT